GGAGACTGGCCAGCGTTCTAACACGCAACTTGATGGCACCTATCCAAGTTCTAAATGTTTACACCTTTGGACCCAGTAACTCTACTTCTAGGAAACACAACGATGTTCATTGCAGCACTGTTTTTGGTTTGTCTGTTTGGCTGCACCGCGCGGCTTGTGGGATCTTAGTTCCCCGACTGGGGATTGAACCCCAGCCGTTGGCAGTAAGAGCGTGGAGCCCTAACCATTGGACCGCCATGGAATTCCCGCAGCATTGTTTATAATAGTGAAAAACTGGAGATGGCCTGCATACGTGTTACAGAGGGCTGGTTGGACAAATTATGATAATGGCAACTAATATTTACCTGTTGCTTTCGATGTTCCAGGAACTTTCATGAGTATTTTACACGTAATAACTCAATTTAATCCTCACATCCACCCTATGAAGTAGGTTCTAGATGCTGTTATTATGCCTGTTTTACAACTGGGGAAATTAGCCAGTGGGTAAGCTGGGATGCATACACAGGCAGCCTGTGTCTACAACCTGCACCCTTTTTCCTTAACGGAGAACTCTGAGCATCCTGAAGGTCTGAAAGTGGAATGTCAAGTTCAGAAAGAAGAAGGAGGTGCTCTGGAGTCACACAGGGAGTAGCTCAGTTCAGAGGAGGGTTGACCTTGCTTCCTAGTAGTTGGGAAACAAAAGAACTCCATGGAGGGAAGGGGCTGATGGATTGCAGAAAGGAAATCTCATAAACAAACTGTGGGATATCCACACAGTGGAATATTATCCAGCCTTAAAAAGGAATGAAATTCTGACACAAGCTACAACATGGATGAATGCTGAAGACATTATGCTATGTGAAAAAAGTCAGACACAAAAGGACAAATAATGTAAGATCGCACTTGTACGAGGTACTCAGATTCACATAGACAGAAAGTAGAATGGTTTTTACAAGAGGTTGATGGGAGGGAGGAACGGGGAGCTACTGTTTAATGGGATGATAAAAAGTTCTGGAGACGGATGGTGGTGATGGTTGCATAAGGCTGTATATGTGCTTAATACGACTGAACTGCGTGCTTCAAAATGGTTCAAATGGTAGTTTTTAGCTTATGTACAAAAAAAAGATAAGCTAAATCTAATAAAGCCTTTAGATCTTTCGGTTTACAGTAAAAACAGGGATTAACAGAACAAATTAAGTGACACTGTGAAGACACATTAGGCAAATGTAGAATGTGGGACATACTACAAGAAAACTGGCCTGAACTTTGAAAAGTCAACCTCATGGGGGAAAAAAATGGAGTAGTTGTTTGAATTAAAAGAGACTAAAAAGGGACTTCCCTGGTGGCGCAGTGGTTAAGAATCCGCCTGCCAATGCAGGGGACATGGGTTTGATCCCTGGTCCGGGAAGATCCCACATGCCGCAGAGCAACTAAGCCCGCGCACCACAACTACTGAGGCTGTGCTCTAGAGCGCGCAAGCCACAACTACTGAGCCTGCGAGCTACAACTACTGAAGCCCAAGCGCCTAGATCCTGTGCTCCGCAGCAAGAGAAGCCACCGCGATGAGAAGCCGGAGCACCACAATGAAAAGTAGCCTCCGCTCGCTGTAACTAGAGAAAGCCGGCACAGCAACGAAGACCCAACGCAGCCAAAAAAAAGAATGCCCCAAGGCAAATAAAAACTGTGATAAATTCAAGAACTGTATTAAAAAAATAAGAGACTAAAAAGGCACAATAACCAAATGTAATACATGCGTTTAATAGGATCCTGCATCAAAAATGAACAAACCAAATTAAAAGACATATTTGAAATGACAGGGGAGATTTGATTATGGATGAGATATTAAGTGATATTAGAGAAATAATGTTAGTTTTCTTAGGTCTGAATATGGTACTGTGGTTATGTTAGAGAATGTCCTTATTTTTAGGAGCTACTTGTGCAATACATTGCAATATCTCGGGGTGAAGTGTCACATCTACAACCCAGGTTCAAATGATCCAGAAAAGGGCTTCCCTGGTGGTGCAGTGGTTAAGAATTCGCCTGCCAATGCAGGCGACATGAGTTCGAGCCCTGGTCCGGGAAGATCCCACATGCCACGGAGCAACTGAGCCCGTGCGTCAGAACTACTGAGCCCGCGATCTAGAGCCCGTGCTCTGCAACAAGAGAAGCCACGGCAATGAGAAGCCCACATGAAGCAACGAAGACCCAACGCAACCAAAAATAAAAAATAAATAAATCAAATAAATTTATTTTAAAAAAAAATCCAGAAAAAACAAAAGCCTCACACACCCGTAAAGAGGGATAAAGCAAATATGGCAGAAGGGAAACAATCGTTGAATCCTAGGTGGTGGGTGAACACTGCAGACTTCTTTCCATTTTTCTGTATGTTGAAAATATTCTTAATAAAACGTTGGGAGAGAAAAGTTCCTGCGCAATGTAAGGAGCTGTGTGACCGTGGTCACCCTCCTGGCCTCTCAGGCCTTAGTCTCATCTAAAGAACAGAGCTAAAAACACCTACTTCACACTGTCGTCTGGATTAAAAGTGTAAATCACCTGGTCCAGTGGACCAGTTGTCCAGTGGCTGCGGAGTTATCATTAGTATTATTGTGACAGTCCCCAGCACGGTGTCAGGTATATAGAGGGATGAGTGGCTTTGGGAAAAATCACTTGGGCTCCCCGGGCCTCAGTGACGCCGCCTGGTGTGGGGTGAGGGGCCCCGTAGAGGCCACCGCACACCCCCTCGCGAGACGGTAAAACTGCAACTGCTGGGGGCGTGGCGGCCGGAGCGCGGGCTGCGGAAGCGGGGGCGGAGCTTGCGGTGGCTCGGCGTAGGATCCCACAGCCTTGGAAGAGCGCAGCCTCTCTGACGTTGGGGGCGGAGTCTCTGTCTCGCGGACCAGTAGTGGAGTAGCTGTCAAAACGCGCACCGAAGGGAAAAGGAGAAGATCGCAGGTGGATCCCAGGGCTTGGCGCTAGGCCGCTCCGGGGAGGGTCCTCCCTCCCCCGGACTGGTCCGCCTGGTCCGCCCGGGCCCTTTGCGTCTCCGGTACCCAGGCAAAGAGAGGGGGAACTGCAGACCAGAACCCCGACCCGGCTGTCTCCTCCCGGCGTGACCGCTCGGCAGAACCACGTAGACTTCTGCCCCTGCTTCTTCCTTTGTGAAGTGAGAGCAGTAAAAACCCGATATAGGGGGAGGACGGGACATGCCCGAATGACTCAGAGGTGGGAGGCGGTGAGGGGGAGGATGGTGGCTTCCCCCCCCCCCCCCGCCTCGTGGCAGTTCAACCGAAAATGAAGTAATAGCTTCTGGCTAGCTCGAGTTATACTTTACAGTTCCTGTACATACAGAGTATAGCAGGAGCTGAAAAGTACATGGTGCCTGGGACAGCAACCAAAAGGGGTACGTCGGATACTGATTACCCGAAACTGGATGTTAATTAGGTATTAGCGGATACCAAGGAATCACTGATAGCTTTGTTAGTTTTATGGCTGATAAAGCCATTATCACGTCTTCAATAAAAGTATCCATTTTCTGGAGGTGCATGCTGACGGGGAAATTGACAATGTCTGCGAGTTGCTTTAAAACAAATGACAGACCAAAGTTTTAGTTGTTGCTTTGTCTAAGAGATGTGATGGTCATTGATCTTTCTTCTGAGGCTAGAGAATACTTTAAACACAGTACTTTAAGAGAAATAGATCTCTGTGGGGAGGGTATCTTCTCTACCCCCCACCTCTTTAAAGTATTATATAGAAAAGACATTGTAAAAAGTCCAGTCTCACTCAGAGACAGCCCTGACTGTGTACAGCTGTTGGAGCTTTTCCTGATTAATCTTTTTTTTCCTGGATCTTAACACTTCTTTCTCTTCAATCATTTTTGGCGTTTTGCCAGATGCAGAGCAGAAATCTCTGGCAAATCTGAAAGACCGCGTACGAAGTAAAATGAGAACTGTTACTAAGTTCATGTCTCCACCCTCATCCGAATGGAGGTTTTCAACCCCCCCCTTTAGGCTCTTTGATACCCAATAAGCAGTAAATGAATTCCTAGTTCTTCAATCATTCTCTGAACTTTTTCTCAGGAATTTTTGCTCAGTTTGCAATTTTTAAAACAATGTCGACATTTGCCCAGTTTGCAATTTTTAAAACAATGTCGACATAGAGGACAGGGGTCCGACAGCAGACACGATTTCAGGGGGAAACTGCACCAAAGGCCCTCTCTCTGTTATTAACTTGAAAGTTTGCAAAGGACTTCGCATTTTACGTGAATTCTCTCATTTAACCCTTTCATTTTATTAGTAATCCCACAGGTCAGGTATGGCTACGAGGCCCAATTTACCGACGAGGGCACCAAATCTTTGTCAGATGACGTGTCCTAGTGACTCAGCAGCCCGCGCCCCTAACCGTTTGGACAGTACGGTCACCACCGACCACCCCACACACTTGCCCGACCTCAGGGACCCTGCTGGCACTCCCGCCCACCTACACGTATCTAAATCGCCGCAGCCACGTTCCCTCGCAGCCAGGGGCTTTGTACTGGCATTTGCACCAACCTCATTTGCAAAACCATTTACCCGGAACCGCGAAACGGGTTCAAGAGACGTTTTCAGAGAGGTGGGGCTCGGCGGGGTGGGGAATCCTCTCCCGCTCTCCGGCGGGCGGGCTCCAATCGCGTTGCTTCATTCAATCCCAAACCTTTCCGGTACGAGCGAGTGCCCGCGCGCGCCAGGGCCACCGGAGCGCGCAGGGCCTGCAGACTTTGTCCTATGGGGCTCTCAGGGATATGGGCGGTGGCGCCCCCAGCCCAGCCTGCGGCCCACAGAGGCCCGGGAGGGGTAGGTCCCGAGGCTCCCAGGAGACCAGGGGCGACCGGCGTCCGCGCGCGGCTCCGGAATCTGCTACGGGAGGCGTGGCCAGCGGCCGGCATCCATCCAATGGGAAACGGCCACGCCCACGGCGCACGCCTGTGAGGGATGCTTTAAATTTCCGGCGCCGCTGTGCAGGGTCTTCCAGTACCTGCGCGCAGCCCCATCTTGACGAGTCGTGCGCAGCCATGCTCTCCGTCCGTGTCCCTCTCGCCACCATCGCTGACCCGCAGCAGCAGCATCCCCTCCAGCTCTCGCCCATGAAGGGGCTCAGCCTGGCGGACAAGGAGAACACTGTGAGCGCGCAGGGGCGAGGGGCGGGGCAGGGCGGCGGGGTCCTGAAGGACGCGGGCAGGCTTCTCACCACGCGTCTCCCTGCAGCCCCCGTCCCTCAGCGGGACCCGCGTGCTGGCCAGCAAGACCGCGAGGAGGATCTTCCAGGAGCCCGCCGAGCCAGTGAGTAGGCAGGCTGGGGGCGCCCGGCGAGGGGGCGCTGCAGGAAGGCGGTGCAGGAGGAGCCTGCTCTTGGCGCCAAAGCCTCATTGTCTCCTCTCAAACCCTACCCCCTCCCGGGCCCGCGCTCCTTTCCCGCCAAAGTCTCTTCCCGATCATTTACTACTTTACACATCTGGACATTTTCCTATTATGTCTCTACTATAGTCCTGCTCTGTTATGTACAGAACCCATGTGTGACAAGCGACATACATTAAACCGCATGAAATTCCCGATAATTGGACATACTTTGCTTAAAAAAAAAAGACAGTTTCGTGGTTCGCCCTATACTTAACATTTTCCATCCTTTCTCCCCCAGCAGAACCCTAAGCTATCTGCCCCCAGTGTGGAGGATGAACCACTTCTGAAAGAAAACCCCCGCCGCTTTGTCATCTTTCCTATCGAATACCATGATATTTGGCAGATGTATAAGAAAGCTGAGGCTTCCTTTTGGACAGCTGAGGAGGTAATCGGATTCAGGAACTAGGAGACTTAAAAGGCAGTTGGAAGCATTGCCCCTAACTCTAGAGGAAGACCCCTGCAGTGCCGGTTATAACGTGTTTGAAATGTGCTTTGCTTTCCTCGTGTTCCTCTTGGAATGCTTGCCCACAGAGGGAGAGTATTAGATGTTCTCACTGGCAAAGTGCGTGAGGGGTATATTAATCAAGCGATACTAGTAGACTTAAAGTTGAAGAATTACGCATATGTGTGAGGTCCTGCACGTTTGAACCCCTTGTGAACTTCTGTACTCCAGGTGGACCTTTCCAAGGACCTTCAGCACTGGGAAGCCCTGAAGCCTGAGGAGAGATATTTCATTTCGCATGTTCTGGCTTTCTTTGCAGCAAGTGATGGCATAGTAAATGAAAACTTGGTGAGTTTGCAAAAATAAAGTCTACTTTTATGCATTTCAAGACTTAAGAGAACTAATAATTTTCTTTTTTCATCTTTTAAATTTTTCCACACTGAATGTGTATATATCTGTAAGCTAGTATTTATATTCCATGGCATTTCCTGTTCTATAATATACTTTGCAGTTATTTCTTCCTTATGGTATTTTTTTCCCCCAACTGTAGAGAAGCTCAAAGACAATGTTAAGTGGTAGTAATAGATCTACAACCCTGGTAGCTATCTATTTGCTCTCCTTTTTGTGGCTTTGCTGTTTTAATAATTTGGTTGCATATATGTCTTGTTGAGTGCATCCTCCTTGCAATGAATTAAAAAGAATGAATTGCTATTTCTACCATATGATGATACAAAAGAGGAAGTGTGACGCAACCAGTGTTCATTGACTGAGTTGCTGCTGGTAGATTTTCCTTAAACTGACCTTTGTGTTTTACCACTAGGTGGAGCGGTTTAGCCAAGAAGTTCAGATTACGGAAGCCCGTTGTTTCTATGGCTTCCAAATTGCCATGGAAAACATACATTCTGAAATGTATAGTCTCCTCATTGACACTTACATTAAAGATTCCAAAGAAAGGTGAGTATTTGGGTGGTGATATGCCAACATATTTAGGATTACCAATTGTTACTTTTTGAGATCGTACAGGGATAGAAGAATGACTCTAAAATGACCAAGTCAAAGAAATTCCTAGCACCCATGGTCCTGTCTGCTCTGAAGAAGAGGCCTGAATTCACTTTACTAGCCAGTCACTTAAAAACAAAGTTATGAGGTTACTCCATTTTCTAGAGGTGGAAATATACTGCTGATCGTCCAACCTAATGCCTTCTGAAAAAACATCCCTAGAGGCTGTGTCTGATGCCCTAAAACCTAGGTCTGATAGTTTTCACGTCTGGCAAATCTGTTAACCCACAACTTGAGCCTGGGGCAGGGTGGAAAGGGTGGAGGATGCAAAGTAAAACATAAAACTTGCCTCGTAAGGGGCTGTAACATAATATAGAAAATAAGACCTAGGAGTATAAGTAGAGGAATTACATGATAGTACAGAGGCAGCTGTGAACCATGAGATTAATTTAGGCACACAGCTGTTTGCCTGAAATGATAGTTTATATTGGAGGATAATAGAGAAATATAGGTAGCCTCGGGCCTATTTCACATTTTCAAGATTGACCGGAAAGGAGGGGAGAGTTAGAAATGGGTGTTTGAGTAGTCTAGATACTAAGGTCAGCTTCCGGACAAGAGCCTGTGTAGAACAGAAGTGGTGAAGCTGAAGAGTAGCCTCTTGTAGATGACTTGGAAGAAAGTGAAGAGGGAAAATGAGTAGTGACTTGCAAGCCTAGCAGGATTGAGGAGATTCATTGGGGGTAAAAAGATTTGAATATGTTTGTAGACAGAAATGAACAAAGGAAGTAAAGGTAGGGGCATGATTGGGATACATTACCGGAACAGGTAGGATCAGGACGGCCTGGTGGTTGAGTTTTGAAAGCCAGGGAGAGGCGAGATCCAGGTTGACATGGAAAGAGAATGAAAGGAACCCAATGGCCTGATGACTTTGGCTTCAGAAAATAAGGTCATCTGGGAAGGACGAGGCTGGACTGGGGAATCTGTAGACTCCCAAGGTGGGAACGGGGAGGAAGAGAGTAATAAGACTCTGGCCCTAAGTGTAGGGCCAATCGATTTGCTTTTCTGACCTGGGATCAACATTGTAGCATAGAATTATAGCTGGAAGCAATCTCAGGTTGTTTAGTTTATTGGCTTTAATTGCTTTATTATATACTTGGCGCATTTGTGGCCCAAATAATTAGCACAATGATAAGAGTGTGGGCATCTATTTAGGGAGATAATGGTCAGCATAGCTTAAACAGTCCTAGCAGTTAAGATTTTATAGTTCTTCAAAGTTAAAGATAGGGCCTGTGAACCTTGTCATGACCTGGACTTGAAATAATTAAGCCAGTAAATGCTCTTGGTGTAATAGACTGAGTTTTCATGTTAGTAGATCTTGGGGCTCAGTGTGAATGAATGGATGCCTAAATTTGTATTAACATAAACCAAATGAATGTTGAGATTTTTGAAAACACTGGAGGAAAAAGCAAACAAGTAAAAAGAAAACATTTCCGTTTGAATCCCAAATTGGCCTTGGTCCCAATGCTCTTACCCAGAAGCTTAGGATAGGAGGTCTCTGCTGGAATTGCTGATGCTCTGTGTGCCTACAGGGAATTTCTCTTCAACGCCATTGAGACAATGCCTTGTGTAAAGAAGAAGGCAGATTGGGCCTTGTGCTGGATTGGGGACAAAGAGGCTACGTATGGTAAGGATACCTTGGCCCTACTTACCCCTGAGCTTCGTTTTCTAAGTGATGTTACTGGTTTGTTCCTATGAACACAAACAGATATTCACTAGAAATATTTTGGCGTTAACTCTAGGAGAACGTGTCGTAGCCTTTGCCGCAGTGGAAGGAATCTTCTTTTCTGGTTCTTTTGCATCGATATTCTGGCTCAAAAAACGAGGACTGATGCCCGGCCTCACATTTTCCAATGAACTTATTAGCAGAGACGAGGTGAGTCTAGTTCAGATGACAGGCTGACCTGCACCCCAAACACCTACAACCCTGTGTTCACTGGAGGGAACCCCAGATGTCAGATTGCCTTAAATGCACATTTAACAAGTGGCTTCAACCATATACATACTTGGCAGAGAAAGAAATACTTCAGATAATTTGCTGAAATTATTTTACTCATATTCTCAATATACATAGGTATTGCTCTATAGGTGATGGGATTTTTTTTTAAGGGAAGTTTTATTATTTCTACCTGGTCTTCTGTGTGATCCTATTGTACTTCAAAGTTAGTTGGTGAGCATCTCAGTGAATCTATTCTGATCCAGTATATGTCTTTGAATGCACTTGGATTAAAGTGCAGAAGGAAAAGTGAAGGTGCCCAGATGTTCCAGTGTTAAGTCCCACCAGCAATGGGATTTTTTTTTTTTTAATTTAATTAATTTATTTTTGGCTGCATTGGGTCTTCATTGCTGCGCGCAGGCTTTCTCTAGTTGCGGCGAGCGGGGACTACTCTTCGTTGCGGTGCGCGGGCTTCTCACTGTGGTGGCTTCTCTTGTTGCGGAGCACGGGCTCTAGGCGCGCGGGCTTAAGTAGTGTGGCTCCCGGGCTCTAGAGCGCAGGCTCAGTAGTTGTGGCACACGGGCTTAGCTGCTCTGCGGCGTGTGGGATCTTCCCAGACCAGAGCTTGAGCCTGTGTCCCCTGCGTTGGCAGGTGGATTCTTAACCACTGCGCCACCAGGGAAGCCCAGCCCTGGGATTTAATGCACTAAGACTTGCAGACTTGATTCACTCGAAATTGCATTCCCGATTTCCCAGGCATTAGGTTTTAAGTCTAAAAACTAACTAGCCTAGTCAGAGTTTTGCCTTTCCTGCTGGGAATAGTGGCGACAGTAGAGCTCAGGGCTGTAGAAAGAATGCTCTGAGTGCAAGTTCTGCCCAGTCCTTTGCCACCACACAGAGCAGCGAGGACCAGACCTGGCCTGCTGTCCTCTAGGGGGCAGCCCTAAGGCCCCTGGGTGGGACCGAGCCTGCCTAGGTGACACAGCAGCTGAGTCATCTTCCCTTCCACAGTTAAAATGCTCTTAGTCTGGCCACGCAAGATGTATAAGGAGAATACAGACCAGCATAAAGCAGTTTCCTATTCCACGTTGATGCTAGAAGTCTGCTGGTTTGATAGTGACCTTAAACCTTTTCTTCTAGGGTTTACACTGTGACTTTGCCTGCCTGATGTTCAAACACCTGCTACACAAACCTTCGGAGCAGAGAGTCAAAGATATAATCGTCAATGCAGTTAGGATAGAACAGGTGGGTGGCGCGTGGAGGCCTCGTGCTTGCTAGAAGACCTCTTGATGCTTCTGTTTTATTGAGAAGCTGTGTTCTGGTCCCTAGGAGTTCCTCACGGAGGCCCTGCCAGTGAAGCTCATTGGAATGAATTGCACTTTGATGAAGCAGTACATCGAATTCGTGGCAGACAGACTTATGCTGGAGCTGGGTTTTAGCAAGGTAAAGTATTGTGGGCAGCCCTCTGGTTCTTTCTGAAACTGGTGTTCCGTATTTATGTTTTGCTGTGGACCTTTTCAGGTTTTCAGAGTAGAAAATCCATTTGACTTTATGGAGAATATTTCACTGGAAGGGAAGACTAACTTCTTTGAGAAGAGAGTAGGCGAGTATCAGAGGATGGGAGTGATGTCCAGTCCGACAGAGAATTCCTTTACCTTGGATGCTGACTTCTAAGTGAACTGAAGATGTGCTCTTAGTTTGCTGATTTTTCTTCTTTTCCTTCTCATCAAAAGAGAAGAAAATCAGCTACTTGAACTGTATTAACCAGCTACACCATAAATCGCCCATAAAGTTCATTAATGGCATGTTTAAAACTGTGTAGCTACCTCAAAATCAATCCTGTTAATGCTAGTGGGGTCACCTAGATTGAAAGCGTAGACAGAAGCTACTCGGATTCTTACGAAAGATCTTGTCCATGTTTGGCGTTTGCAAGCAGGCTGGCTGTACACGACTTCACCCTGGCTCTTAACAGCACCTTCCTTGGCCTCAAAGTGTGGGGAGTCAAGTGAGTTTGATCCAGCAGGATTAGACAGTTACTACCACGAGGCAGTAGGAAGACATCAGACTCACTGCTTCAGATTTTAAAGCAGATTTTAAAGTTTACTTATGATTTGTATATAAAACTGGCACTTTACACACAAATAAACATAGTTTGTACTGTCAGGGTGAAGGCTTGATTTAACCTATATTTGTTGGTTTCTACACCAAATACAAAAGTTTTCTGTTTACCACTAACAGCCAATTCAAGATTTACTAGGTGATCAAAGTAGGTTAAGCCTGTGTAAACTAAGGGTGTCGTTTTTATTCTTTCTTTTCTTTGATGAATTGAAGAGCTTTTGAACTCAATCCTGTGTACACTTAGGTATCAGTATCAGCCAGGTGGTGCCACATAGAACACAGGTTGGTTTTGTGTTCTGTAGCCCATGTTGAGTATCGTGGGATAAGAGATGTGGAGAAAGGAGACTCTTAACTTAGGTCATTAGGAACTGAAGTGTGATCCGGACTCACTGTGGGCAACCTGGGTGTGCATGAGGGGCGGTATCATTTAATTTCTCAAATTGTATGTCCCCCAACTTCAAGTTAGTATGAAAGATCCTTGAAGAGTTTTCCTAGCTGGGATCCAAGATATTAACTTTGTAAATTGGTTTTCAAATTATCCTTGAATGAAAGGACCCACGTAAGATCTTTCTCCTATTAAGTGGTAAAACCAGGACTGAAATTGCCTCTCCTAAAAGTTGAGTGTTTATTCTGATTTTGTTTGTGTGTAAGTAGGTACTGTTGACTTAACCATTTGTACTTTACTTTTAAGTTAGAAAATTGTTCTGCTATTTTTTTTTTTATATCATATCTGTAGTTCATACTTTTTTTTTTTTTTTTTCCTCTCTTTTCCTTTCTTTCTTTGCGGTACGCGGGCCTCTCACTGCTGTGGCCTCCCCCGTTGCGGAGCACAGGCTCCGGACGCGCAGGCCCAGCGGCCATGGCTCACGGGCCCAGCCGCTCCGCGGCATGTGGGATCTTCCCGGACCAGGGCACGAACCCGTGTCCCCTGCCTCGGCAGGCGGACTCTCAACCACTGCGCCACCAGGGAAGCCCTGTAGTTCATACTTTGAAATAGTTACCCAGTATTACTTTGCAGTTCATGATTGATGGGGTGAATATTGTTCAGTGCAATTGCTCCTAGGATTTGCCTAAATGTGAGCATCATCTACTGGATTCTTAAACTTCAGTAGAAAGCTAGTGTTATGTGAATAATTAATACGTGTTCCACTCAAATATTAATTTCAGAAGAAAGTATGAACTTAGGGCTAGTTTGAATCAATCTGCCTTTATGTTCCCTCCCCCTCCAAAAAAGATGTTACGTGGAAGGTAATGCATGACACACACCGATCCTTTGGCCACGTTTGTTAACACATTGTGTTGTGTGTTGGCTGACCACTGGCCTGTTCTACTGTCAGTTTTCTTCATTTATTGTATTAATATGAATGGTAAAATAGTCAATTTAAAAATTTCTGTAATATGGGACCCTTTTCTACCTTTTAAATTATTGTTATAAAGTTAATCTAGATTTTATGGTTCTTACACTTGTGCAACACAAAAGTAAACACTTTGCCTGGCGTTGTCAGGTACAGGTGGCACTTGGAAGCAGATTTTAGGATTCTACCTCCCGTTAGCTGTGTGATACAAGCACTAGCTTCTGCCAACTAAGATTCGGTTTTTTAATCTGTTTAAAGGGAAACTTTTTGTCTAAAGCATTTCAAAGTCCTGATATTGAGTACTGCACAAGTGTCAGTGATTTAAATAAAACCATTCTCATGTCAGTTCCTTGATAAAATTTGCATTTCAATTCAGGAAGAAAAAGCCAGGAAGTTTTCATAAATACCGAATAGGAGTTCATTTGCTTTTAGCAGTTCGGGGGAGGGGACTTTCCTCATGCCTGTCCTGGCCCAAGTATGTGGGAAACAGGTTCACTTGAAAGATGATGCCCCAGAGCATCTGCCACAAACTGACCTACAGGGGCTCGGGTTGGTCCCTCTTGTCTATAAATGCCCTTTCCTGGGGCTATCCCACCCACCTTCACCTGTCCATTCCCAAATTAGCGAATTATTTATTGTGTGTCATCACTTCAGATGTGCAGTTACTCATTGAGCGAACAGCAGCTGTCTTGCTGGGCACTGTTCTCTGTCAGAGGTGGGACCGAGGACGCAGCCACCCTGTGCAGTTTAGGTTTACTCAAGGAGGAAGCTGGATGCATAAGTAAGTCCTGGTGTTAGATGGCGATGTAGTTCGGAGCCAAACCAGGGAAGGCGCCGCAGGGAATGCTAAGTGGGTGGGAACCTTTAGGAGCCGTGTGGTGACATTCCTTTTCCGTGGTAGAGGTGGGGACTGGGGGTGAATCTTACTGATTGTTGTGCTCCTGCCTTCCTGCGCTGTTGCATTAAGAGTCCTCCTCTTGGGGCTTCCCTGGTGGCGCAGTGGTTGAGGGTCCGCCTGCCGATGCAGGGGACACGGGTTCGTGCCCCAGTCCGGGAAGATCCCACATGCCGCGGAGCGGCTGGGCCCGTGAGCCATGGCCGCTGAGCCTGCACGTCCGGAGCCTGTGCTCCGCAGCGGGAGAGGCCACAACGGTGAGAGGCCCGCCTACCGCAAAAGAAAAAAAGAAGAAAAAAAAAAAGAGTCCTCTGTTTCTTCTATGAAGGAGAATGTTCCCTTAGAAGGCACAAGTTTTAGCCGCTCCCTATCTCAGGGAGCACACAGCCTCCAAGGATCGGCCCTCAGGGAGTGGCTGGTGGATGTGATTAATTTGAGCTGGTATTTGGGGCTGGATCGTGTCTTGGGTAGAAGTGTGCTGTGTCCTGGAGGAGTCTCGTGGGCAGCTTTGCCTTTGCACCCCAAGGGCACTCCGTGCCTTTATTATTTGATTCATAGTGTTGGGTTGGTGGCACCACTGGGTACTTTCCAGGCAGCCGTGCTCTAAGGATCGTCAACTATTAGAACAGCCTCCCAGTGGGCAGCCCAGGGTCGTGTTTTTTCTTGCCATCCATCCGCCTGTACCAGCTGCCCGTGGCCTTTCTCAGACACATCTCCGTACTTCACTTGGAGGGGCCCTGCGTCAGAGTTAGTGTGGTCAGACCACTGAGTCTGAATTGCCTCTGGTATTAAAGGCTCAGGGGCCCCATCCCAGACCTGCTGAATCAATCTTGGGGTGAAACTAGGGAGCCCACAATTTTAACAAGTTCCCCTTGGGAGGTTCTCAGACATTTGAGATTGGGATGGACTCTTACACAGTTCAAACCAGTGGTTTTCAGCTCTGGGTGTGCATTGTAGTCATTCACAGGCTTTAAAAAACCCAGTGCCTGGATCCCACTTCTCAGTTTCAACTGGATGCGCTTTCTGATTTGGGCTTCAGATGCATAGAGCCCTGGCACTTACGCAGGAGGCACATTTCATCACACCTGAGCCCTGGGGTTGTGCTCACGTGCTGTGGCCAAGTCCGGCTGCCCATAGCAGAGCTGTGAGGCTGCCTTTGCCTGCCGGGCACTGCCTGGCCTGGGATCCAGCCTGGAGATGGGCTCCGTGCAAAGCCGGAACTAGATGGGTATTTGCAAATGCCATCTGGCCAGCGAGCTTCCGGAGATCCTGATAATGGTTTAACTCTGCAGAGCAAGACAGTCCCAGCCCCTCAGTGAGTGGCTGCAGCTTTGAGGCTACAGGATTGCATGGCTTGGCCCATTCAAACCAGAGAAGACTTTGATAGGACCCCCCCTCACCCAACCCTATCCCCTTCTGTAGAGGAGGCTACCCCTCCTGGTGTTGTACTCTCTGGGCACTTGGGAACGAACACCATCAGTGATGTCGCCTTGTCATTCCCTGGAGTGGATTCAGTAACCACAACCTCCTTAGCTTGGTTCTAAAGACTAGAGTGGCTCCAGCAAGATGGTGGGCTAAGGTGCCCTAAAAACCCTCCTGCTTCAGACACCTCCCAATGATAAATAACAAAAGTTAAATGGGTAATGACTTCCTGAGAAAGGGGGATTCACAGATGCTGGGAACAAAGACAGTGGCCATGGGAACCTGTGCTTGGAGGAGCCCTTGGGGTGGTTATTAGTCCCTTAGAGAAATCAGAGGATGAAGGACCAAACACCCTCGGGTTTGGAGGGAGGGATTAATCTGTACTAGGGGGAATTAGAACCAAAACAGCTGCACAAAGCAGGACCCTGGATGAAATGGAGACTTAAGAAATAATCCCACCAGCCCTGGGGGAGAGGCCGAGGGTGTTAATGTTTCTGGGCTCTGAAAAAATCAAAACCCTAGGTAGGCCTGTGCCTCTCAGACTTGGGGTCTAGGAACTCACGAGAGATACATACTCCCAACCAAACTGCACATGATTCCCACGTTACAAAACGTGCAGGGAAACAAACCACATGATTGTAGGAACAATGGGTATAGGAATCTCAAGAACTTAGGTTCATAAGATAATGTGTGATCAGAGGAAAAAAACGAAGTCAGAAGGAGAAAAACAAATACCGTGTGCTAACACATATATATGGAATCTAAAAAAAAGAATGGTTCTGAAGAACCTAGGGGCAGGACAGGAGTAAAGACGCAGACCTAGAGAATGGACTTGACATGGGGAGAGGGAAGGGTATACTGGGACGAAGTGAGAGAGGCACCTAGAGGGGTGGGAGGGAGGAGATATGGGGATATATGTATAGCTGATTCACTTTGTTATAAAGCAGAAACTAACACTATTGTAAAGTAATTATACTCCAGTAAAGATGTTAAAAAAGAATCAAACCCCAAAGAACAGAACTATAAAGAAATAATAGGCAGATTTTTAAAAAGAACCAGCTAGAATGTCTAGGAATACAACACTACTGGAATTCAAGCTCTTAGAGCTTTAGAAAATATCCTGCTTAGTAAGATTAGACACAGCTGATGAGTTAGTGACCTGAAGGGGTGTAGCTGAAGTAATTATCTGAAGGTCAGATGTGGAGCGTAGAATGGGGTTTTTTATGGAATGGACAATGTCAAGGTAGTAATGCAATTTCCCAGAATTGACTCGTCTTCACAATCCAAGTCCAAGGATGCCTCATCCTCCCGTGTCCAGGTGGTACCTCAGAGTGAGGTTCTGGGACCAGTGTGGGCTGGGCAGGTGTGACCTA